TGGATCAAGGACCTAGAGAAACTACACGTAATAAAAGAAAAACTAGGCCGAAATCTCCATCATATCAGCTTAGGAACCAAATTCCTCAACAACACTCCTAAGGCAAAAGAAGTAAAATTGAGAATTAATAAATGAGATTTTATAAAATTAAAAAGCTTCTTCACAGCAAAATAAATAATCAAGAACTCAGAGGTATACACAATGGAATAGTACTCCACTTTTAAAAAGAATGAAATTATGGCATTTGCCAGAAAATGGATGGAACTGGAGAATATATGCTAAGTGAAATAAGCCGGGCCAAAGAACCAAAGACCGAATGTTTTCTCTGATATGCAGAGGCACAATGGTGTGGGGGTGGATAGAATAGAGGTATTTGAGACTAGACAGTAGGGAATAAAGGGAGCAGAGATAAGAATGATAATAGAATAAATTGGACATTATTACCCTATATGCATATATGATTGCAATTTGGTGCAATCAATCTGGAAAGCAGTATGGAGATTCCTTAGGAAACTTGGAATGGAACCACCATTTGAAGCAGCTAACCTTTTCCATTTATACAACCCAGGTACTTAAAATCAGCACACTATAGTAACCAAACGAATGTTTATAGCAGCTCAATTCACAATAGTTAAACTATGGAAGCAACCTATGTGCCCTTCAATTGATGAATGGATAAGGAAACTATGGTGTATATACTCAATGAGATATCACTCAGCATTAAAAGAGAATAAAATTATGGCACGTGCAGGTAAGTGGATGGAGTTGGAGAATACCATGCTAAGTGAAGTTAGACAATGCAGACAATCAAAGGCCAAATGTTCTCTCTGATAAGTGGATGCTGATCCATAATGGGAGGCGGGGGACATGGGAAAATGGAGAAACTGTGATTAGTCAAAGTGGAGGGTTGGGGAGCTTGCATAGGGGCAGAAAAGATGGTGGAATGAGATGAACTTTATTACCCTAGGTACATGTATGACTGCACATATGGTACGACACTATATCTTATACAAGCAGAAAAATGAAAAGTTGTGCTGCATTTGTGTATAATGAATCAAAATGCATTCTGTTGTCATATATACCTAATTAAAATAATAAATGTGTCACTCAAAGAAAAAATACAAGTAACAATCAATGTTGGTGAGGATGTGGGGAAAAGGTGCACTCATACATTGGTGGTGGGACTGAAAATTGGTGCAGCCAACATGGAAAGCAGTTTGGAGATTCCTCACAAAACCTGGAATAGAACCACAATTTGACCCAGCTATCCCACTCCTCAGTTTATATCCAAAGGACTTAAAAACAGTATAGTACACCGATGCAGCCACATCAATGTTTATAGCAGCTCAATTCACAATAGCCAAGCTATGGAATCAATCTAGGTTCCTTGAACAAATGAATGGATAAGGAAAATGTGGTACATATATACAATGAAACATTACTCAGCCTCAAAGAAGAATGAAATTATGGCATCTGCTGATAAATGGATGGAAATGAAGATTATCATGCTAAGTGATGTAAACCAATCCCAAAATGCCAAAAGCCAAATATTCTCTCTGATATGAGAATGCTGAATCACAATAGGTGGTGAGAGGTAGGAGTGACAGTTCACTGAATTGGATGGGGGAAATAGGAGGAATTAAGGGGGGTCAAAATGAGAAACACAGTAGAATGAATGTAACCTAGCTGTCCTATGTTCATATGTGAATACACAATCAGTGTAACTTCACATAAAGTACAATCACAAGAATGGGAAGTTATATTCCATGCATGTATGATATGCAAAACTACATTCTACTATCATGCATAACTAATAACAAATTTTTAGAAATCAGACCTCAAAACAATTAAAAACATTATTTTCAATGGCACCAATAATCCAAACGAGTGCTGATGGTTACTTCTCAAATACTGGTTTGAGAGATAACCAAGAGCAAAGATGGAGAAATAAAAACAACTGTCTAGGAAGTGTCAGATTATTCTTTAAACATAGTAAAACATAACCTCACAAAATAGTAATATTCAATAGTAGATCTTTAGTACAACTTTCTGCTCCTCCCAAACATAATGCAATAATATACTAATTACCTATTAAAAATACTAATTTTTTAAAATAAATAGTATATAATGTATACCAATAATTAAACTAGAAAATCAAAATTAAAGGATGAACCTAAAATTGCAGTGGTTATATAATTAATATTGAGGACTAGCATACCAATGTTCAAAAAGTTAAAATTTGAAAATTTGACTTAAAGACCAAATATGCTTTTTTAAAAAAAAAAAAATCTGATATTGAGGAGCAGATGGACTTTCCAATATTATCTTTTTAAAGCTATGTTTAAAGTTTAATCTTAGTGTTCCCAAGTACTAATATAAAAGCTATACAAGAATTTGTAAAATATTAGCAATATATTTATTCAAGATTTAAAATACTTAGGAAATTTTGAACATAAAAATAGTGGAAGCAAATTAGATAATGATTACATACCAGAGCAATTCCTGCATCAAAATTATTTTCACATACTTTTCCTGGAAATGTAATACCTACAGAGGCAGAATGTTTCACAAAGCTAAAAAACAATAAGTTTACTCATAAGTGTATTTAAAGTAGTATTACTAAAGATAATAGTAAATATTATTGAATATTTACTGTTGTCAAACAACATGCTACCCTCAATTACGCTTAATAAACTTTTTTTCCAAGTTTCAACGTTAAGAACATATATCAATTTTGAAACATCTAGAAATATAAAGGATGATAATAATTTATGCAAAATGTCATTGCACTAATGTTATAGTGTTCATTCTGGTTCACTTTATACTTGCAGCCTAAAAATTCAATTTTCTCTGACCTAATTTTTAATTATTCACTAAAGATGAATAGATATTTTTATATTAGAGATTAGATAGTATGATAATTTAATATATTCATTTCATTAGAAAATAAAAATATAAGAATTAATTAGATAAGTGACAAGAATAGAGAGATATGATAACAGGTAGTAAATGTTTATAAGCCAAAGGAAATCAAAGAAATTGTATCGCTCATGCTTAAGCTCTTTTAGTTATTTCATTTCCTTTTATGTGATTTTACTTTTTTCATTATTGCTCAGTTTTTTAATTTTATTGTGGCACTAATAACATGTAGTGACTCCCTTCTCATCAAAATTTCAAGTGTCCATTACAGTACTTTACAAATATTGTACATTTGGTAGTTTCATATTTTTCAATAAAAATTTTAAGTTTATCTCATATTAATTTGATGACAAGGGCTTTAGCTTATGTTTTTTCATATCCCATGACATCCATCAAATTAGTAGAACAATATATATATGTGAAACATGCTTATTTTCCTTATTAACATATAAGGTAACCTTGGCTTATCCCTTTAGTCTTATGAAATGTAAAACACTGTACTTACGCAAATAAATATGAAATGTTATTATGAAATTTAAAGTTGTCATGTTTCCAATTTAAAAATCTAAATAACACATTCTCAGGAGCTCCTACAGTAGAAATTTTGTTTTTATATGACCAGATTTCAATAGAAGATAGTATGACAGTCAGTTTTAACTGGGCAAGCATCTAAGGGTCAAAGACAAATGAGAAATTTTAAGTAAATTTGAACATTCAATTGAACTTTTATAAAAGCATATTTAATATGATATTTTGGTTACAGAAAGTCTTCAAGGGCACAACAAGCTACTATACACATTAATTCATATTACCTATATTTTTAAAAAATATATAAATGAAATAACTTTTTAAAACTTACAGTGTTAACAAGGCCAATAACATGAATGACCTTCTGTGTTACAGTCTTTACGTCAGAGCCCATGTAATCAAACTGAAAAAGATAAATTATTTTTAAAAATGAGTTTATGTTTATGTTCACTTATAATACAACACAGTGAATTCTTCTTTATGTATAATGTACCCATAAAATTTTTTTTAAACTGGTGGATGTAATTAATATATCACATCCCTTCCAACTGTAATCTAGAAAATAATGATACATAATTAATAACAAAAAATTCAATAACATAATTGTAGCAATGTTCAATGCTCTTAACATTGGGAACAAGATGGTAA